GTGAAAACCTATATTAGACGAAATAACCCATTTTTATTATTTTTATTAAAAATTAAAAAATTCATAACTCAGTCGAAATCCATCCAACCTACTTCAGATTTTCTCTGTTTTATTCATTCTGATTCTGTACGTAAAATTAATAAAAAATATTATCTTTGTTCCGGAGGTTTCTGAGAAACATTTCTAGAAACCAAAGTACTTTCTGTTGGTTTTTCAACATTTATTGAGCTGTAGAGTATGTTGCAGATAAAATACAGTATTTTTTGAAAATCTGAAGTGGGTTGGATGGATTTCGACTGAGTTATGAATTTTTTAATTTTTAATAAAAATAATAAAAATGGGTTATTTCGTCTAGTATAGGTTTTCACTTGATTCTTGCAGTTTGTTCTGAAAACTAACGTTGCCACGAGATTCAGCATAGTCGATAACCTATGTTTTCATTAATTTCTAATAGTCCCAAATCTAACGGCAGAGGAATGCTAAGGCTTCAGGAAAAATGTCCGTAGCTCTCGAGCCATGGATTTTCAAGGTGTCGCTTGGATCCAGTTTTGTAGAGGACACGTTGAACTATATATCTATGAAAAAGGTCCATACATTTCTAAGTCAGTTTTCAGAGAACCGAACTGGTTTTCTGCAGATCAGTAGTTGCAGAAAAATTCAATAAGATTTTTCACGTTTGCGCTTGCACGAATTCTTAAAATTTCCTCTTGTTTAGTGCCCATGTTCTTAACGAAGATGACGATAACATTTTGGTTAAAAAGAGAATATTTCTCGTTACCCAAACAACGAATAAACTACAAAATCTCAACAGATTGATTTTAAAATTTGATAGACTAAATACACTGATCAGTTCTCAAAAGATAATGAGTATGACGAATAAAAAAATATTGCACTTGTTTTCTTCTCTTCTCTAATCGCTCACATATCCACATTTTTTATGCATTCTCGCATTTGGTCGTTTTTCCGGTAAACGAACAATAACATTCATCTTTTTATCTGACATGGTTATCTTTCTTCTTCTTTGAATCACTTTTGTCAGCTGAGGCTGAAAATTCGGAAAAAAACCCATTTATATTTGATATTTCAACTTTGAACATTTTTCTTTTATTTTCAAATGCTTTAATTTGGCACATTGATTTTTGCGGATAACATGTGTTGTAGAAATAGAAGTGTATTTCACATAGATAAAGTTATATTTTTAAAGATGATGTGAAAAACAGGCGAAAGCTTTCTTTATGTTGTTTTTTATTTTGCTTTTCTGAAGTAGTCTGTGATTATTGATTACGGCTGAAAACTTCAGCTTTGGTTTTATTTTATTACTTTATATAAACAAGCATAGTATGCATCTAGAAGCTGGGTTCCTGATTTGATGAATGTGGGATGAATATAAAAATATATTATTTTCAGATATGACAGAAAGAACGAAAGACGATATGAACGTGCTCAAATACGGTAGAAAGAAAGACATGGAAAGGTAGAGGAAGACGAAAGAAATCCGCCAGTGTACGCTGTACTATGTGAATGACTTGCAAGCACCAGTAGTTCAGAATTCTACAAATATCCCGTTATTTTGCTTCTTTAGTATTTCAGATCAAATTCTTCATAAAATTCTGATTAGTGAAAGATGTAATACAAAAGAAAAGATATGCTTGAATACGACTCACGAATTCGTCTATCGTATCTCTTTTATGCCACATTTTTCTGTTCTGCAGCTTAGCGTTGTGATTCTAATACGTAACCCTACAAAAAAATATTTTATCGGCACTGGTTGTCCACGGATGCGCACCGGTGCCGGATAATTATTTTGTCTGGGCACCGATGCGCATCGGTGCCAGAAAGAACGTAAAAATCTCGTACCGATGCGTACCAGTGCCGAAGTTTTGTTTTCAATCACCATTTTTTTGTCAATTTCTATCTATATTAACGCTACGGTCTACTTCTAATATTTCGAATGTCTTTCTGATTTCATTTTTTCGTTCTCATAAGAGAAGTGCCGAGACAATGCCGCATAGTTTTGGCATGTCGATGTGGTACTGATCAGTGCCGCACTCTAACACAAAATTCAGTATAAACAACCATAATAAAGAACTAATTAAATTGATTAAATAAATTATCAATGCGGCACCGATTTTTGCTAGTGCAGCACCCATGCAGCACTGACTTTTAGCAGTGCGACACTCTTTCAGCAGAAATATATCAGCACCGGTGCGCACGGGTGCCAATCGGCACTGGTTCGGCACTTGCTGGGCACGGGTGCGCACCGGTGCCAATGACCGATGGCATGCCATGCGCACCGATGCGCACTGACAGTGCCGCACTGGCAGTGCCGCACTGGAATTTTTTTTATAGGGAAGAATAAAACGGTGAATGAAAACAGTGCTGAACTAATCTTTCCACGTTCTTCTTTACACAGTGAAACAGAACAAAAAAAACTGTGTTGTGCAAAGATATCAAGTCAAACGTGCGGCGACGTCTGTATACGTTCTATCTTGTGCGAGAAGAGATATCCCTTATTTGCTATAGTCCGAATAAATAGTTTACAACAGAAGACAGATAAAAAACACATGCTATATGAGAGAAGAAAATTACTCAATGTTGGCCGTGTATGGTGTAATGTGGTATTGTTTCATTTTTTGCAAGTTTTCTTCTAAAGCAGAAGAAATAAAATTTCATCTTCTTGATGATTCATCCCAATGGTAATTTTACTCACGTAGCTGAGTAAACTACATAAACACTATCTCTCATATATCTTCAATGTATTTCAACGTCAAAAGGTGAACTTATTCAAATATTCTTCTACACACTGTCTAAGTTAAAAAATGGCTTCACAAGAAATGGATTCTCAAAAAATGGATTGTCAGGAAATGGATTCACAAGAAACGGCTTCACAAATCACGGTATCAGCGGATGATATTTGTTCAATATGTTTGAATTCAATGATGAAGGGTGAAGCACTGTTTATATCAGCGTGTAATCATCACTTTCATTTCGATTGTATTGCAAATAGTGTTAAAGCGCATAATACTGAATGTCCGTTATGTCGTGTACCATTGGTATCATTAAGGAATGTTGTGGCTCCCCAGCCACCCACACCATATCAAATTCCGCTACAAGTTCAACAACGTGCACCTTTAGAGCGAATGTTAACTATGACATCACAGGTAAGCAAGAATGAAATACACTTGTTTGAGTGATACTGAGCTTGGTGTTTCATCATTTAGGTTCTGGACATTCCTGCTGAAGACGTTGTTAATGAAGCGGAATTATACCGAATCTTCAATACAAATAGTCATCGAAACAACAGCCGAATGAGCGATGCCCCTTCTAACGTTAAATTCATTGAAGCAAAAACAACCTTAGAAGTTGGTGGTGTTCGTTGGAATCAAGAACGTAATTTATATGCCATGGTTTCTTTGAAAGCTCCAATATTAATTGATGAGAATAATGTACGGGTTCCATTAGATCTACTACTGATTGTCGATCGAAGTAATTCAATGTACGGAGACAAGATGAAATTATTAAAACGAACACTAAGTTATATTGTTACCCAGATGAAATCGAATGATCGTCTGTCGATTGTATCATTTAATGGAACGGCTGATGTTATCAGTGGTTTAAAAATGATGAATGATGTTGGAAAACAGCGAATTGAAAATCAGATTCAAAATGATGAAAAATTAATGGCATCGGGCTCTACAGATATTAGTAATGCTCTGAAATTAGGCATTGAATTATTGAATAAACGTCAAACAAAAAATCCATTAACATCCATACTATTGCTAACTGATGGTCAAGACAGTGTACCATTGTCATCATATACAGAAATAATGAGTCGACTCCCACCAGGAACTACATGTCATACATTTGGTTATGGTCGTGATCATAAAGCAAATATTTTATCGACCATCGCTGAAACTAGTTCAGGAACATTTACACATATTGATGAATTGAACACTATTGGTAATTCATATGCACACGTATTAGGTGGATTATTTTCATGTATAGCTCAAAATATAGAAATTAAAATTGAATTAGAAAAAAATTATAGAATCACAAAAATTCATTCAGCCTTATCACATTCAACTGTTCCAAATCAAACTGTAACAGTCAAGCTGAATGATCTAAATGCGGATGAGAAGCGTGATCTTGTATTTGAAATTCATGTACCAACAGTAAATGAAGAAGAACATCTGTCGGATCAAATCGGTCATGTAGCACTTCGATACATTGATCCTGCGAGTAAACAAATGGCATTAATAGAAAACATACCAATTACACTTATACGTTTGAATATTACTGATGAGTCAATATTATTTAGCGTAAACTACGATTTAGATGTTCAACGTAATCGAGTATTAACCACAAAAGCGTTAAAAGAAGCTATTTGGTATGCTGAACGTGGTAATATGGAACAAGCATGTAAAATAACACGAGACGTTATCGATCATATTAAGTTATCCATGTCATCACAAAATATTTTGTGTCAAGAATTAATTGAAGATTTGAATAACAGTATTCAAAAATTTCAGAATGATCAGCAACAATTTGCAGCACATATGACAACAATGAGCAGAAATCATTCAGACCAACGTTCAACGTACAATTCACCACATTTTGTCAGTTCTAGGACGTATGTTACGCCGATGCAACAGCAACAGATTAATTCATATCAGTCTTACTCAACATCAATACTGTAAATTGGACGAGATTGTTTGTAGAATATAGAAATTGTTTTTTGTTTTATAAAAGAAAAAGAATGTTCTGTCAAGTCACCATTTATCCGACTAATACTTTTTACTTCTTACAAACAGCATACTTTATCAACGTCATACAATCGTTAGCTTTAAAGCCGTACTCTTTCGTCACTATCAATTGCAATAAATAAACATTTTTTAATTTTAAACAAGTGCAAATATGCCAACATGTGATATGTAAAAACATCTGAATAAGATTGATATTTCATCGTTCTTGATTAATGAGTTAGAGACATATTAAATGAATATGACAAATCCGTTCGACTCACTTCAAAATTACTTTCATTTCATTTGAAATGAAGTGGATGCGAAGTGAAGTGGTGAGCTAAGACACACAGTTTGTTATTAAACACAGCGATGGTTAGCGCACTACATGGTTTGTGTGTGTTACTCACCAGTAGTAGAAGAATGTTCGAACTGTGTGCATATGTGTGCAAAATAAACTCACGCAGAGCAGACATTTTTTTCAGTCTGGTAAAAGATTATCTAAGAAAACTAGAAATATTTTATTAAAGAAATGCTCAAGGATCGTGCTTATCTATAAACAATCGTCTATTCACGCAGCCATCCTCGCAAATTTCTGAAGCCAAGTTTTTGAATATTTCGTCCACGCTTAAAAGGTTTCGTACATATATGGCACGCAAAAAATACTCGATTTGCATCTTGCATTAGCCTGAAGCAAAAGATCCTCCTCTTTCTTGCCAATCTCCTCACTGCGTACTGTCAAGAGTAGCAGTTACATTTTCCTTATGTCCTTCGCGAATTCAATCGTTAGTGTTGAGAAAAGCCTCTTTTATGCTAAATGTGTTTACCAAGTCTATGCACGTTGATACTTTTCTCAGTTCTCATGACGAGCTCATCTTCGTTCCATTGAACGGCACCTGTTGGCGGGAAAATGTATTCAGTTTTTTCCAACAGTCTTCCGTCGGTAGAGATACGAAGGAGCTGCTTCTGGTAGTAGTCTACCACCAACCATTGATCATCATTAATGGAGCAGCAACGATCTCCTATTTCCACCAGAACCGACCAGAGACATTCGAGCGTCGTCGGTGAGCGCAGCTCGAGACGATTCTTCGAATTTGGCTGCCAACTACCACGAATGACAACAAGCGAATCGTTTTGAAATTTGATGTCCCGAACTGGCTCTCCTACACCAGAAGCCACAGACAACTGGCGTTTCTTGACGAATGCAAAAGACGATAAAAGAGAGTATTCGTGAATGGATGGACTCTTGTCCCTGGTCTTTGTCGATAAGAACAAGGTGACATCAGAGCATGTTCCGCGGATCCACTTGTTCAAAGATACTTGACATGGTTGAAGACTCATCGTCCGTTCATTCAGAGTGAATACCTCTTCCACGGTAACCAGAATAAATCGAGCGATTCTTGAAGACCAGAACATGTCCCGAACGATGCCATGAGTGAAAGGCGTCTCCTTAACAGTATTTAAATTTCGATCGAGCAGGTGGAGATTTTGATCACCATCTACTAATAGATGTTTCTCGTTATTGGCTAGTAGGCAGAATTCAGGCGATACTCGTACGCTCGTTCTGTGTGGAGGCAGTAGGGGAAAGAGTTCTTGCTTCCTTGACGATAGAGCTACCAAGTTGTCCTCGATAACCAACGGATGCAAGACGAATTGGACAAGTTGGAGTTCACTAATATTTCGTTCGATCGATCGAATGATCTTTGTCAATGAATCGACATCTTCTTGTGCGCCTCCTTTTCTTCGAATCAGTTCATTGAGTTGATTTCGCGTATCGTCGAGTTTTTGCCGCTCTCTGTCTCGCTTGCTGTCTATCAACTCACGGCGTTTTTTCTCGCAGAAACTGTCCATTGTTCTGTGAGCTTCTTTTCGCCATTCTTCAAACTGCTCAAAACAAGATGGTTTCGTTGAAGAGTCGATGTTCAGTACGTCCACTAGTTGGCTGATCTCGTCGGCGATCAGTGGGAGTTGTGCATCACGTTGATCAGAATGTTCTTTGAGATGATCAATGCAGAGATCTTTTCGACAGCAACTGCACAGAGCGAGAGATGAAAGTTCACATTTCTGAGCGGCACACATGCGGGATGACGAGGCCATTTGCCGATTGTAATGTGAGTAGTGGTGTGTGGTTGTGAAAGTTGAAATATTTGCGTAAGAAGACGAACAGAGCGAAAGAGAAATACATTACATTCAACCAAACAGACGCTACGGCTGCTGCCTCTCTGCAGATCGCGCATAAAGCCAGTCATAGATCAGACTCCATCTTTCGAATTCAGTGAAAGAAACGGATGTGATGTTCGATATGCCCATGGTAAAGATTCTATGTCGAACCTCTCATCAGATCGCCGACGTATTGTATGTGGCTAATCTATTGGAATGTGTCAAATTAGACAGCGTAGCGGCTGTTAAAGGATAGAAATTGCACTTATATCTCACAAAACTAAGTATGCACTCTCAGAAATTCCAAGATCCCAGGTGTATGAAAAAAGAAATACTTATGCACTTCTAATTTAATTAAAATTATGAACTTTTGGAGATTTTGCCGTTCTGTGGCACGAGAGTGGTTAACTTTCACAATGCATGGATGGTTTATGTTCTATCCAATTACAACGTGCTTGATTTTAAGACAAAAGGAGTATTAATAAAGAATAAAAAACATTTTTCAAGACTAGTAACAGCTGCTACGCTTTAATTCGAGATAAAAATTACAAATCCTCTTCCATTCCTCTTTTTCAAAAAATTGCAATCGAAGACCGGTTGGAATCGCCCTTTTTAATAAAATTCTTTTTCCTGATATTATTTTTAAGTTGAAAATTTTTTCAACAATAACTGTATCGTGTAGAGAAATGTTTCAGCACCGGTTTTGAAAAAAAGAATTCTCAAAAAATCTCTTATCCTTACTATTAAATTCAGATTTTAAAATCTAAAACTTCTCAATTTTTTCATAGCAACGGATACTTTCAAATACACCATTAAATAGTGCGTGAAAAACAAATGTAGGGGCTATGAGATTTCAGAACATACTGAATATAACAAGGTTTTTGAACGAGTTTTTCCAGACATTTTCAATGAGGGTCGGTTCTGTTCAACATTTTTCATCTGCTTTTAATTAATTTTTGGTTTCGATTCAAATTAGGTATGCACCGGTATCAGTATAGCGAATACAGAAAATACCAATACCGAAAATACCGAACTTCAGTATATACCGATCTCGACTTTTTTTTAATTAGACTTTTTTGGATTTTTTCATCTGAAATGAGATAGTTTAGCATTCTGGACTTACACATGCTCAGAATACACAGTTGAATGTTTTTTGTGTTCTAACTGTCCATGGCGAAACTAAAGTATCTCATCTCAGATGAAAAAATCAAAAAGGTACAAATCAAAAAAAGTCGGTATTTTCAGTATCGCTATATACCGAAGTTCGGTGTTTTCGGTATGGATACCGATACCGATGTGTGTCTCTATCCTATCCGAGTACTTCAATTTTTTTCGAATTTTCACGTTGAAAAATTACCGAGATTTTCACCAAAAAAATGAAAATGTACTAAAAATTTCAATATACACATTAGCCGATTTGTCCAGAAAACTCTTTCCAAAACCCTGTTACATTTTGAAATCTAGTAAACCCTTACATTTGTTCAGTTTTTCATACACTATTTAATGGTGTATTTGAAAGTATCTGTTGCTATAAAAAAATTGAGACATTTTAGTTTTAAAACAAGTTGAACTTTTAGATTTTAAAATTTAAATTTAATAGTGAGGAAAAGAGATTCCGGATTTTGTAAGTTTACTGCAAAAGAAGAAATTAACAATAACTGTACATTCAAGTTTAATCGGTTTTATGCAAAGAGATCGAAAGGAAAGCGACCATAAGTTTTAGAATTTGAGGTTCGACAATAATCAAGAAGAAAAAGATGTGATCAATAATTAAGAAGTGAACGTTTTTATTCATAATTTATCAACTAACTCATATCGCACTGGTGATATATTACTATATAACAATTTTGTCAAATAATTATTTTAGTTCTAAATAACCTTGCTCAAGTCAAGTCGCTCTTCCAACATTTACCTTGTTTAGCATATAAAAATGAATTTTTCGTTGATTCTAATGATTATCGCGCGTTATTGGATAAAGTAACACAAACTCTGAAATTTTGTTTGTTACAAAATATACCGTTAGTAAGATATTGACCTTGAAGGAAACTAAAAGGTTTTCCGTATTTTACAAATATTCGATCGATTGTCACTATTTTCCAGACAAGACTCTGCTGCATCTTTCCAGAGAACTATATGTTTAAATATCTTTTATAGAGTTGACAGTAGCTATTCTGTAAACTCTAAGTATAACGAAGCAGTTCGGTCGAAGCCTAGTAAAATATCAACAAACAACTAAAAAGGGGTACGGATTGGAACGAAAATTTGTTTGTGTCCAGAATTAAGACAGATTTATGCCCATTTAAGGTGTGCACGGTGCAGGTACAAAAAATCTTTTCACACTTTTGTGCTCGGAGACAGATATGTGCCCGAATTTGATTGATTTGTGAAAAATAAAATTTTTAAAACAACAGTTGTTGTACTTATACATTTGATTTTAAAGTATTTTGTCTGTTTTGTTAGCTGTACTCTTAAAAATAAAGGTACTCTATCGAACCTAAAAAAGGTTTAAACTTTTATCAGCATCTATATACATTTTTAAGGTTCGGTATTGTATTTACTTTTTTTGTAACCTAATAAAGCGTTCGTAATACGAAGTTTCGTATAACACTATCGTTCACGTCAGAAGAGGGTTTGGTGTAGTATCCCGTCAACAATAGACTTGTTGCCTATGGCTTAGTATTCACCATTGTTTTTTTAATCAGATTAATCAATCCATTAGGTAAAAGCGAATGTTCAGTAAGAAATACAATGTCTTTTGTTGTTTTAAAAAAATAATCCACAATTAGCAAATAATAAAATAATAGCTTTAATATTGAAAGTCTATTCACCAACATTCGTATAACGGAGACTATTAACATCATTGGTGAAAATCTACCACACAGATCCAAAATTAATCTGTTTGATGATGCTCCACAATATAAGTCTAAATTAGTTATAGTCAAGCACGTTCAAGAAACAGGTCATTCAATCAATTTCAACAAAGTAGAAATGTTCAACCACCAGCTTCTCTGAAAGGTTATCCACCATCATGATCACGTTCGCTTTCTCACCCGTAGCAAGGATCTTCAGAATCCAGTCACCACTCACCCTCCGAAGATCTTTATTCAATCCGAAGGACATCAGTTTTATTTTTCTCAACCACATAGATAGAGACCGTGCACAATTTTCATTTTGTCGTCTCCTTCCGCTCGGAATTCGTCAAAGTATTTGTTGTCTGTGGGAAAGAATAATCTCGACCATTTTTTCAGCACGTTTGACCATTGCACATGTATGCGAGGAACCTTACACACTCGAATAGAGCGCATTTTTTTGTATAAATTTCGCTCACTTTGGTACTTCTTTTTGCTCTTTGTTGCGGTGGAGCAGTTCAAACGCGTTTTTCGGTCCAAAAACACCACGAATATGCATTATCTTTTTACACGTTACGTTATCAAAAGTTCTGACATTTATCTTCATGGTCAGTACGCTTGACTTGATATATGCATATGACAAGTGGCCGACTGGTGCCACATTGTGATCCTGTCCGTAGGTGCTTTTTTCTCGAAAATATTAGGGAACAAAAAATACCTTACCATAGCCTCGGTTCTCAGCAGACCCGTGAGAAGGACCAATGTTATGAGCTTGAGCGAGAACGTTTTCATTTGCAATGCAACTGAAAACTTGGAGACTGACGGTCCTTTTCAGTTTTTTGTGTCAAAATCTCCTTAGCTGTTTCTGTTTCAAGAAGAAACTTTGAACAAAAAAAGTAGTTCTTTTTATTGTGATAATCTTGTTTGTTGAACAAAAGATGAATTCAGATATTTGTTGTTTATTTTGTGAACTGTGTGATTTGTTTATTTGCTCTCGTAATAAAGAATCAAGTGGTCGAAAAGCATCTACAGCTAGAATAAAGTTTCATGACTTTTGCTCGAGTAACGCTACTGAAATTTTTCATTATAATTATTCCAAATTGATTGTAGTATTGGCAAAGGTTTGCGTTTATTAAACAGATGACGAATATCCACTGCCACTAAACAATTGAATCCTGTTATCGCAAAGTACTTAATGTGCTTTTTCCCAACATACCTGATATATCTCATTCAAATATTACGTTCAGTATCTTTGAAACTTCATCCCTACAATCTCTCTGGAGCAGTTTTGTATAATATTTCTTCGATCTACCGCCGTCCTGAAAATTTTCTTGTATTCTTCAAGGCTGTTTAATCGAATACTTTTCCTCATCATTCCCTCTCGTTAGATCAGTTGTCATCATCAGTCGAGTTAATGACAGAATATATGATTAACTTCATTCCAAGAATATTTTCATTTTCTCAACTTCGAGATCCGGAACTGGAATAATATCTCTTATTTCATCAATTATTTTTGTGGTATACGGTATAAAGTTTCGTTCGTTATTGTTAAGTTTCGCTCGCGCTAAACCTAACGCATGAAAAGCTAATAAAAGATAGAAGCTATTCGAAAGGAGATTGCCTTGTATATAAAACTGTTGTTGAAATAATTGCATCATATTGAACGTGTACTCCTCTAATGTACAGTTAAATTCAGACAGTTGCTCATACCAGTACTCTAATAATGGATGCTCCTTCAAAATATCCAGAAACTCTTGTGGATCTGGGCTGTTGCTACTATATAATAAAGAATTTAGAGACTCGCGTAAATGAGGCAAACTGAGTTTGGGATCTTTCATATTGGTCATTATCAACCATATCTGTCCGTGATAAGCGTAGAAAACTGAGCAATCGGTACTTTCTTTGTCTAGCGATATAGTCAGCTTTTCTGGTACAGATATGGTTGTGAATTTCGAACTTTGCTGGTGACTTTCAACATAAGCATTAGTCGCATACTGTAAAACTATTTTGCCATTTTTTTTCCCGTCACGCATTGCTATTTTAAGCACTCCATGGCTCTCAGTTATCGAAATTTTTGGATTCTTATTGTGATACAAACTTTTGTCAACATAAATTTTGTGTTTGAACGGATTATCATCGGGCAGCATCAACTTGAGACACTCTTCTGCGGTAGAATCTTGACAGAGAATCTCAACTTCTTTTAGATCATCTAATTTTAATTGTGATTTAATTAAAAATTCTTGTTGAGAGCTAGCAAATTGTCTGGTAGTGAGTGTAGTCTGATAAACACCATTGAAATCAAACTGCTGTATTATATTTCTTGTGTTACCAGATACCACTAATTTTCTCGCCATATTACCCAAACTCACCTTCCATTCAATATCTGTCTGTCTGAAAATTTCGCTGAGAGGAATCTTGATAAAAATAGGTACTGGACAAATGGGATCGTTTCCGAAACGTTCTGTGTCTTTCATACCGCCCAAGTTTTCATTTGTGAATTGTGTTGGCGTTAGAGGCCGAAAATAGAAACGTACATAATCTTTTACTTCTCTTCTTGTTTGCTCAATAACATCATACGCAGCTGAATCCTTAAAGTTAGCCACATTGTTTCTACATTTTAATCGTCCTTCTTTGAAAATGGAGACGGCATTTTCAATGTGTGTATAATGATAAACATATCCTTTCCATGGTGCGTTTTGCATATTCAAACAGGTCAAAAATAATTCGCTTGGCTCATTTGGAATAGGATTCAGTTTTGATAATAGTTGAGCATTCTCCAGTAGAGCAAGTTTACCGATTGTCTCATAATCTATTTTCGAGCTATAACTTTTGTTCGTGTTAGATACTAAGGCTTTATAAATTTGTTCTTCTCTCTCGTCGTCTACAACAAGCAACATTCATCTACAATTCCTGATTCTTGAGCGAAAGAACTTTGGTCAGATAAAGCCAATAACAAATCAAAGAAGAACGTAGCGCAGGTCTTAGATCGGTCGGACTTTGATAAAGCAGATTAAGTGAAATGTTTTATTAATTTTAATGAGCCACCCCATTATTTTGCGGACGGCAACATCAAATAGTATTTTTATATAACCTAGACTTACACCCAAGAAAAAAGCTCGATTACTTAGTTATTTTTATTAAACAAAACTCACTCACCTATCCTCGAGTTGTTTTCGTCCCCTTTCGTGGAGATGACTTGATCATTCAACGGTATGCCTAATTGAAGAAATTTATCTTCAATTTCTGACGGCACTGCTGATAAGAGAAATTGCATTTCCTTGTCAAATTCTTTCAACAACAGAATTTCGCATAACTTTGTTGATAAATCTATTTGATGCTGTTGAGAAGTCCATGGTCGAACCAGAAATAATTGATTATTTATTGAGTATATAGTAAGTGTTTTGATAACTACTTCATTGTACAATAATTCCAGAGAATCTGCTTCAAATATACTCGCTTTTCCAATATTTGCTTCTAACTGATCAAGGAAACCATTTGTTCCGAGTTTTTTCCATTTGAACCACATCTTTATAAAATCAATTATTTCGAAGAGCTTGTGCTTAAAGTCACTTGAATCCTGCGGATTTAGTGGTCGAAAAATCAAGTTTTGAAGACGGATTTGGTTAATGTTGAATAAATTCAACAATTTGTTAAGATTCGGATTTTTGCTGTTGCCGCTATTTAGTTTCAGTAAATGAAATTTATCTTTCGGCAGAATAATGGTTGTTTGATCCATGTTAACGTGCAGTTCTTTTGCTGTCATAAATTGATTATTCTCACCAAGCAGACGTGGTACTTTACATTTTCGCTCCTGTACTTTTATTTTAGACAATAACGCCAACAGATGACTATAAACTGCCTGTATACGATCTTCATTTTCTTGATCTACTTTAACATTAGAAATCAGTTCAAGTAATTGTATGTAGTCTTCTAGCGAAAATTGAGTTTTAAAACCAAGAAATGCACACCAATCCGGTTTCATTATCACTGCACAGACAGGCATGTAGTTCCCTGCTAATTGTGTTAATTGCGGGAGATTCGCAAATGTGTCGATCGATCGCTTGCATTCACCGCAAGTGATCGTTGGAATACATTGCATATTGTATGCAAACCATTGAGCGTGGTTTACATATGATCCCAAAGAATTAACTGGAATATGATAGTATACTGAGAGGGCGTTTACTTCTTGAATTAAGTGTTTAACTGTAAATGACTGGGTTAAATATTGCCAAAAGAAATAAGAAAAGTCATAGTTATTAATTGTTTTTTCTATAAAACTGATAGTTATTAAACGAGTAGGACAACTTTTTCTCGGATTCGATTGCTGATCGATCGTCACTGTAATTGTCTCGTTAACGCCAATACAGAGGAAAAAGTGTTTCCACCTTTTTATGATCCCTGTATCACTTGCTGTCAAATACTTTTCAGAAAGGAAAATATCTGTTTGTTGCAGTCTCTGTTCTAGACATACTGATGGTTTATATACATCTGCGAGATAACAGTTTCCAGCGGAAACCAGAGTTCCTTTTGTGGTGACTAACTTCAGTTTGCTGAGTTGACTTAAATGTTCCTCCGGGATTTGATGACTTTGAAATAGGTGGAATAAAATATCAATGGTTTTGAACGAATGATCGGTAGTTTTTATATAATTTTCTGCAGTTGGAATAATTTTTTTGTATAAATAGGTTAAATCTGCTTTTTCCTGAATACCGAGTTGTTTCAACCACTCTTTGATTGCTCGATTTGAGTCAAACCATGTTTGAATTGTCGTATGAACGAAAGGTACTTCGGAGGGAAAGGAATCCCACATTTCATTAGGCAAAAGACGAATAAAAATACATCTTACCGATTGTAATTTGTTTGTATGATCCATGATAAAAGGAATGTCGCGGATGACTCGGTCTAAGTCTGCGTTACTTCTTTTATCATACATATACATAATCAATTTTGTATCGTCCTGAGATGATAGTGTTCGATAAAAGTTAGACAACTTAAACAGTTGAATACAGTGGGACCAGTCAAACGTTTTAACACCCAACTTTTGAAGTTCATTATTTTGTTGAATAAACGGATAAAGAGCTAAATGACTGGTGTTGCGATTAATTTCCAGCAGGCATAATCTAACACGATCGTTACCAATGAACGATTGTTTTGATAACGATGTCGAATCAATGTACGCTTCGTCAACTGATAATAACACAGGAGGTTGTTCATTATTGCGAATAAATTTAGTTTTTTTAATACATTTCTCATAACTTTCATTGTATTTTTTCGACAAATTATTTTCTAGTTTTAGTATGTTTGGTATTAATGTATAGGCTTGTTTTTGCCATCGATCTTGATGTACTAATTCTGCGATCCATCGAAAGACTTCTATTGGTATTTGTTGAAATAGCCATTGATTCCAAACTGAATCTGTATGTATTTGCTCCCTGTTAACATTTGTTATAAAATTTGCATTAACCAGGAATGGGAGCTGATATTCAGTTATTTTTGTCGGCATGTAGGAAAATAGAACACTTTCCGTTTCGGTTAGTTTTTGAATATTACACTTCTCATCACATTTTGCAGCAAAAAATAATTCAGTTTTTCGTAACGATTTTAGTTTTTCTGGTACGTTTGAAGCGTTCATTAATGCGTTTCGAATTTCGTCTGGTATAACTAAATCGATTTGTCTTACTATCCAACAGGAAGCAGCGTTACAGCTCGATTGTATTTTTCTCGTTCCGTCACTGTTCTTTTGTAACGTAAGCGTAACTTTAGGTGCCTTTGAATAAAATTCTATATCAGTCAGATTTTTGAGAAATAATAGAGTATGTGGGTGTTTCTGCAGCTGTTTCAATCCTTTTTCGATTTCATCTGATGTAGTGATTTGCATAACATTTGCTACTGAACATGAATTTTCTACAATAAATTCTTGGACAATTTTTGGAACCTCGTTGATTTCTGTCCATACTGGAGTTATTTGCCATGGAAAAATAAATTTTCTTTGCTTTTTGTCTTCCCATGATCTTTGAGTCCCTGGCCATTTTTCACTCCATTGAAATGTGTATGAAGCGTCGAATCGAAAATATTCACCTTTACTATAAATGAGTACATAATCGGATTTTCCAAATACGGCCTTGAAACCAAGGCCTTTGTATCCCGCTTTTCGATAGTTTTGCGTTTTTGATCCATTTCCAACAGCACATAAAGCATCCAGATCGTCTTCAGTAAAAGAAGCACCATTGTGTGCAACGATCAAATAGACGCCACGAATAGCAATTACTACTTTTTGTGAATTGTTCGTGCTTAGAAGTGAAGCGTCATCAGCATTTTGCAGTAGCTCATATATGAAACGAAAAGAGTCTGTGTAGAGATCGTTTGATAATGATTTTAACGATTCAGCTTGATTTAACACATGCTCTGGATAAGCATAATTCGTATGAATGCTGAATAACTTATTAACTCGCTCTTTTAAGCTCATCTAAGAAAAAAAATAGTAGAGACTCGAGGCTTGGAAACAACACACATGCTCACTCAGTCTTCTTAACAAGTATCACTTCTTGAAAAATGTTTTCAGTCAACAAAAAAGTTATTTGAAGATATGAATAGGCATGCTGCATGAGAAAATTAGTATCCACTGTTGAAATAGAAATGCATAAACAAATAGAAGTGCATCTTTTAAAAAAAACCTTTTAAAAAATCTTTCTAAAAAAAACAATCTTTAAAAAAAAATGCATATATGACGTTGTCGAACCGTCTCGTTTGTTTTCGATATATTTACCTTTTTAGTTTAGTTTAAACTTTATTCACTTCTTGATAACATGACGTTTCGGTTATATTGTTCGAAAAGTACTTCACAGGTAGGCTCAGAAGTGTTTTTTTAACATTCTGCTGAAGTGAAAGGAAAAAAAGAACGATCGACAGCACATAAAATTAACTTGAAGTGGAAATAATCTGTCAAAGAAGTATTTTTATTTATTGTAGCAAATGAACCTATTATCACAGAATATTTCTGCTTCAACAGTGAACTTCACCAGGGAATCGCTTTCCTTCTTTTGCTAGTGAGAAACATGTAGCTTTTTACTAACTCACTTGAAAATGCAGAAGGATTAAGTTTAAAATTCCTTATCCATCGCCTAGCCCCAAGTTGCGAAGATCCGTTCAACTTCCGGATGTATCCTAACGAATGTTTTGACCCTGTAGAAATATATTCACCGGAATTAATTCATATACTTTTCGCAAGGAAGCTAATGCCTCTTGTAAAAAGTATTTACAGTTTTCGATGAGTTCTACTTTTGAAAAGGAACATGGTTCATTCGTGAGTGTTTTTCGCAGTTTATCTGGGCTGTAAAAAAGGAAAACGATTTAGCAACTGAATGAAAATGAAGGACTTTGAGTATTTTTCGTATATCTCGAGAAGAAAAGCATTTTTTTCGGAAAAAAATTTAGAATTTGAGACAGGGTCTAAAGGATCTGTGGTAAAAATTTGAGCTCTATCGGACCATTTTTTCGCGGGGCCGTAATGTGACTGAATGAAAACCCATTCAAGAACATCTCAGAAAATTCCGGACAAAAATACATCGATTTTGTTTTTCGATGTTCTACCTCTGGTATAAATTTGGACTCAATCGGAGGTGTATTCCACATTTGGCAACAAGGTGAAAAAAGTGGGGGAAGGGGGTTACCCTTAATTTATTGTTGTTTTTAGAAACCACGTGTCACCGATAAACAATTATAGAACCCGTTTCTATAAGGAATTGCAGTCATCCGTAACGCCTAGTTTCTCGTAGTTTCAAGCGCAACCGCCGTCCATCTTGATAAGCTCCATCGCGGTTCAATGTGTCGTTCTTCTGATTGAGTGTAATCACGGTGCTGATTAACCTAATTATTAGCTTTAGTAGCTCTTTTTCGAGCCTTTGATTGGTGGATATCTTATCGACTTTCTACTTCCATCCAACTGGAAGTAGAAAGAAACTTCTAAAAAAAGTGATGCCTTTAGATATATGCTGTCTCGCACAAATTCCACTTTTATTGAATAGTTTTCATGTTCCCTCAACTTTTGATGGTTCATCCATTACTTACAGTACTCGATGAGTCTAATACTATATTGCGCAGATTTTATTTGGAGTTCTGATAATCCATCCAGCAACGCGGTTAATCGATGAGACGTCGAAAAACGCTGTTTTCGCGCTAGAAAAAGCGCAGATCTGTTCAGATTGCAAATGACCGCGTATTTCATAAAACTGCAATGGGCCGTGGTTAAAATACAAAACGAGTTTTTGAATAGACAGACTGTATTTCTTTTTAGGAACGCTATATATCGAGCGTCTTCTTGCTTCGATAATCGAGACTTGACCGCGATGGTAACAGCACAAACCGCAGCCTCTTTGTGACTTGCCGCAGTTAAACAACGCACACAGTTGATGACTGTTCGATCACAAGAACGCGATCTTTACTAATGGAATGGCGACTATAAAACCAAATCGCGAGCAACTGCGTGCGTCGTTCAACCGCGGTTTTGCATGAGTGGACCGCAATTTAGAAGCTGTTTTAACGAAAAACTGCGTTTAGATGCGTTTTTGGAAACGAATAAATACTGGAGAAGCCACAGTAGTTCGACGTTTTTTATCAGAGAAAGTGTGGGTAAAGCACCTGATTTTCAACATTTCATAAGCCATTCACCAATCATGGCAAAAACTTCGTTCAAGTAAACTAAAATACAATTGCTCATAGTTATTGTATCTGTAAACGAGGCAGAAAAAATTGCTATCTAATAGACTTTTGTAATTTTCTCCAAAACTGATGTCAGTTGACGGTAATCTTTTATTTCTATTCGTCACTTCAACCCGTTTCGTGGACATAGCATGAATAATATCTTATTTGGACTCTATATTCAAGTCCTACAAAATCCTGTATTTTGCTTTTTAATTTGTTATAGATGTGGAATTTTCAAGATCTTTTTTGGACGTTTAGATGAAAACTGTCGATTTCAATTTTTTTTTAAAGATTGTTTTTTTTAGAAAGATTTTTTAAAAGGTTTTTTTTAAAAGATGCACTTCTATTTGTTTATGCATTTCTATTTCAACAGT